TTAATATTATTAAATGAAATAATTACAGATTTAATAGAGATATATTTATTAATATTAAAGTAAATAAAGATCGAAATACTATACTTTAATAAAAATGAATATGAAAATATCTAATAAATAATTAATAATTTAATAAAATTGATAGAGAAAAACAATAAAGAAAGTAATATTACTTTACCTAATATAACTTTATTATTTAATTATATATTATTGATATCTAATATTATATTATCTAATAAAACTTTATTATTTATTATAACGTGTTTTATTATCGAGTGGATTATATCACTGAGTAAATTACTTTCATCTTAATTTATCATTTTAAACTCATATTATTCAATAATAATTGAATTAATTAATTAAAACTATTAAGAATCTAATAATCTAGGATTTATTATATTGTTTTAATAAGTTCTTAAATTATGATCTGATTTTCTATACTTACTATAGTATTTATTAGAAAATACTTCCCTAATAGGATTTCCCTTATTTTGATATTTGTTATATTGAATCTGAACATTAACTTTTTATTAAGATAATATATTAAGAGCCTTTTATTTAGTAAGTATTTCTTCTTAATATAACTAAAAAAAAATTGTATGTTGATATTTACTTAATACTTTATTTACTGTTTGAAGTATATGAATTTTTATATTTAAAAATATATTCTTATAAGCTAATTTCTTTATATTTTTAGCTAGAGTTAGTATGGTTTTAAATATAAGTATAGGAAAGCTTGATTAATGATGAGTTATTTAAAATTTAATTAATTTTGATTAAGAAAGAGCTTTAGTTAGATTATAAGAGGTTTGAGAGATTTATTAATTTAAATTGAAAGAGGAGGGGGTAGATGTACGAATTTGAATATCTAATTTCGAGAGTATAGTTTTAGGATTAAATGGGATTAAATTTATTCCTTGAAACTTTGATTTCATATTCTAAAAGACGATTGATTTTTTGTATATAGTTTTGAAAGCTATAAAGAATTCAATTTTCAAAATATGATTGATATGTGCTTTAATGAATTCATTAATCTAAGTACCATATAAATGTTTTAGGTTACTAAAATAGTTTATATTAAATGATTAAGTTAAATAACTTGAATATAATAATAAATATATATATTTAATATTATTTTCTTTATAATATACTTGAAAAGCTTTTGATTTATGACTTTTATGTCCATTTAGTATCAACATTCGATATTTGCTTTTTTTTTCGATTTTTAATATACTTATTGAAATATTTCAACCATTCTAAACCTGTTTTATTATTTGTTCATTTATTAAATGTAGATTTAATAACCCAATCCACAGGAAAATCAGTTTCAGTATATTAATTAAAAAGATGAATCTATTCTTAAATTATTAGAAATAGAGATATAGTTTTATCTTTCCTATTATTATATATAATTGTTGTAGCCTATTCCCTATTGTCTGATTGTATTACCTTGCTTTTTTTATTTTGTTCAGTATTAGTTATTATCATTCTGGAGTATATTATACTTATTATAAAGCCTGTTTTATCGAAGTTATAGAAATCACAGTCAAGAATATTTTATTTCGCTTATATATTCGAAACTAATCGAAATCATTTTTCAATAAATTTAGAATTTTTATAAAAAGCTCTTTGAAAGTCATAAACACAATTAAAACATGTTTTTAATTCGATTCAATGTTTTACGAATTAATGTGTCCAATATACTTTATATCTTTTGATTTAAAAATATAATTTGCCATATCTTCTACCATTTTAAGTTTAAATAAAAATCCTTTTGAATTTATATTAAGTATATATTAAATAATCATTTCCTTTTTTAATTTTATAAGATTATAATAATTCGCTTAAGTTTCAATGTGGGGGATAAAACTATTCATTTTATAATTGAGTATTATATATAGTAAATTATATAGCTTAGCAGTTTTTCGAATACTAAGTTTTTTATCTTTTTGAATAGCTTCAATAACTAAGAGTATTCAAGCTTTTTTATTATTCAATTGTATTTTAATTAATTAATAAAATGTGTATTGAAGTGAGAGATTAAGAATTGAGGTGAAAGTGATTCATTTAGTAATATAATCCACTCGGTGATAAAACACGTTATTTGCTTTTATATTATTAAATTTAAAGTATAATCTTAAGAAAAAAAAGAAAAGTAATAATGATAATATAAAAGGATAAAGAAATTCTAAAATTATTTAGGTTTTATTTACTTCCTTAAATAAGCTAATATCAGAATTAATTAAGTATACTATAATTATTAATTCAAGAAGGAGACAAATAATGAAATTACTTCAAAAATTTTAATTCTTTTAATAATTATATTAATAAAAGCTAATATTACTTTACTAGTAATAGAAATACTTAGAATTAAGATATCAAATTGTTACGGGAGCTGCCTCTAGGGTCACGTGGAAGTGTCTAGAGATCTCTCGAGGTGGTTTAGACTAGACTTCAAGTAGGAATTCAATAAGGTTGTAACTGGTTGCAATTCTCGTAACTATAGTATGAAACTAATGATTGATCTTGAGCACGAAGCTCTACATTGTAATGAAACCCATTCCCTTATATAGACCTTCGTTCTCGTCTGGATAGCTTGGGTAGACTGTCTATCCTGTCTATCCACGGATAGCCTGGATAGCTTGCCTATCCTGTCTATCCATCACGTGACACTTGCCCCGTGACCTATATGATACTACTGCTTATCTAACCTGTGCTTACTAGATAACCTGTAACCGCTATCCCTCCTGTGCCTACTGTAGGATAGGTGCCAACAAAAGATAGGTACCTATCTTTTAATCATTGCTTATTGATTCGGTTACCGCTATCTTTCGTTACCCTTTAATCCAACTGTCCCTACAGTGCTATTTTCGTAGGTTCCAACACCAAGGCCTTAGGTTTATCTTATAATCCATGTTGCGGTGCGGGTACCTCCGTAACACAAATATATATAAAGAAGTAATAACAAATAAAAAATATATAAAAAATTAACAAATTATAATTCAAAAAGAAATAGATTTATTAATTAAAAACGATATTTAAAAAGAATTTATTTTATTATAAGAAAATAATTTAATTTCAATAAAATAGATATTTCTTGTTAAGACAAAAGATAATAAGGTAGAGTGATTTAAGGTCAAATTAGTAATTAAAGGATTTAGCTAAGTTTTAAATAAAAATTATAATAAAACTTTCATTTTTATAATTTAGTTTAATATTCTTTATCTTTTCCTTATAATTATTGTAAAAAAAGATTTCGAGTGTTTTTATTTTAATATTAAAAATATATTTATTGAATTATATTTGAAAAAAGAAATCTATTTAGTATTCTTTTAAGGTGCTTATATTTATTATGGCCATGTTCTATATACACTTTGGAGTTTTTATGGGTTAAAATAAGCTAGTAGAGATTGAAGTCTTTTTCTGAAAGAAAAGTTAATCAAGATGAGTTTCGTATAAAGTCTTACGGACCCATATTTATACATTAATTATTCATGTTAGTTAATTCTCCTAGTATATATAGATGATATTATTACTATTACTGTACAAAAACAAGATATTCAATAATTTTATTACAACCTTTTTGCTTGATTTAATATCAAAGACATAAGGAAGATTAATAAGATTTTAGAAATATGTATTATTTGTAACAAATTAAAGAGAGTATTAATTATAAATCAAAAAGAATATCTAAATATAATGCTTACCTAATTCAAAATCTCCTATAATTAATATATTTGAAAAAAGATATTAATCTCGAATTATAATTAATTACAATTAATATTCTTAAATGACAAGCTTATTGATATAAACAAATACTAATAAGCAATTAGTAGTATAATCCACTTTATAATTTATATTAGATTGAATATTATATTCGGTCTTAAAAGATTAATATAAGCTATATTTAACCCTACCAAATATTATAATATTGTATTTAAAAATCTTATAAGATATTTGAGGTTAATTATTAAATGAAACTATATTTTAAACCTGAAATAATTTAATTAAATATTTATAAAGAATATAACCTTTTATAATAAATTATTAAAATATATATTGATATAAATTAAACAAGTAATAAAACCAATTAAAAAAGTATTTCTGATGGGGTAGTAATATTCTATAATGAATTAATTTTATGGGTAAGTAAGAAGCAAATATTTATAGTTATATCTAATATAAAAGCTAAGTATATTTTTATGGCAATATTTATTAAATAAGAGTAATAAATAGTTCAACTTTTAAAGGATTTAAAATAACTATAGTATATTAGGAATAATAATGGAATTCAAATGCTTGGAAATAACCAAAAAGTATTAATATTAACCAAAAACTTATATTTATATAAATAATTAAAATATATTAATATATATTATTACTTTATTTGAGATCTTATAGAAAAATATTTAGTCAATATTAGCTATATCAATATAAATAATATGGCTATAGATGGATTAATAAAACCATATGTAAAAATAATATTTAAAAGATTCAAAAACATATTAAAGTTTCAAAACTAATTATTAAAACTAAAAGAATAAGCTCTTTAAAAAAATGTTAGAAATTATAGTATATACTTTAAGCTATTGTAATATATCATTTCCACTTTGTAATTAGATTTTATCTCTATATAATTAATCTATATAGTCAATAATATATGTATTCCACTGGCCTGCTTCTTCATTGTGAATAAAACAAGAAAATTATGTAAAGTATCTCGATGTATTATAATATATTGGGAATTCAAAGATTCAATGATTCTACATACATAATTACGAATACCTATCCCTATAGCGATGATTCTCCTAGAAATCCGACGCCATAGCTTTAACCCCTCTCCCTTTCGACTCTGTATATTACATACCTTGAAGTCATCGGTGAAGAAATATTGGGGACGGAATAATTCTGCTGATAAAAGTTATTCAAACTACAAATTTCTTGCCGGTTTGCTAGAAAATCCCAATCTTCCGTATATCTATCAGTGCACATACACAAACTCAACTCCCACCAGCACCTCCACCACTATTCCTTGCCTTCTTCCGACTAAAAAGTCGCTTCAAGAATGTAAATCTTTTCTCCGATTTCCTTCTTTTACTATCCTTGTTATGAATATCATTTTCCTCTTCTTCCTCTTCTCCATCATCATTATCCTCTTCTCCCATGCCTTCACCATCAGTCCCAGACATAGACACAGCTTCCCGTAAATCTCGTTTTGTTAAGAAAGACTCTCCAATTCCATCTCCCTCTGCTTCTCTCTCCACAGCCCGACCCAAAGAATCACCAAATCCATCTTCTTCATCCTCGCTCGGACTCCCTACACTACAGTAGAAAGCTGCGTCAGAGCCGGAACTATGTTCGCTTGGGGGTTTAGATTCAGAGTCAGAGTTTGGTTCTTGTTCGGCGGGATTTGAAGTTGTGGAGTTGGGGTTGTGGGGAGAGGGATTTGGAGATGGTGAAGATAGATTAGATGTTCTCTCTTTGCTTTCCCTGGGCGGGTGTTGGTGCTTTTCGTGACGAAGAGGTGATGGATGTGCTGTGGAAGTTATGGTAATTTCTGCAGGTATTGATGGCTCGCTTCTTCGACTAGCAGGATAAGGCCCCGAAAAGGGAGTTTGCTGTACAATTTCGTCATCCAGGATATTGGATGTTGATGGCAGAATGGTGTCGGATGAGTTTATCGCTTCGAGATTATTGGGTGGTGATAGGGGGGATCTTTTGGTACCCGATGGTTTGGGTACGTTGCGATTTTCCATGCTGGGCTGATTAGAAGAGAGTTCACACTGATGGATGAACTGTCGGGGTGATTTAAGTCTGATCAGGAAAGTTGATAGGGGCGAGATTTGGAATGTGAAGACTGCTGAAAGTAGATGAGTTGGCTTTGTGTAAGGTTTTGAAAGTAGGGGCCAGACTGGTTTGGGTATCTGATTGGTAAAACTTTTAAGTGTTGCTACTCAGGTTGCATATGATCAAATTTACGATTGAGTTGTATAGACAGTTTGACTACCTGATTGTTTATTAACAACTTGAGGGTCACACAGTCATGCCACTTCTTGCACTGCTCATAATAATTTTCACTATTCCGGAGCTCATTATACCGAAGAGTAGACCGGTATACACGAAAGCAGACCGGAACCATTAGTGAATCTGGAAAGTTCTTTGATGCGTCTGATCGAATATCTACAAACGGACTGCTGGATTGGGTGGAGGGAGGAAGAAATAATTCCGGATTGCTTTAAACTACTACTATATGGAAATCAATTATAGAGAGTGATTAGACTATCTCCCAAAGTGAAGTCATGATGTCTTTCAGATAAGTCCTATAGTCTGTTTCGTAGACTAACCGAACAGCAAAACTTTGCATAGAGGGTGCGTATAAACGACCGTAATTGTATTTTGCCGTGAAGAATAATAGCTAGAATGTAGATTGTAAGACTGAAATAGGAACTCGCGAGTCTCGTCGAGAGGTGATTTCCGCAACACAAAAGGGGGAAAATCTACTACACGTAAGTGATGAAAAGAGGCCCTTTGTTTGGACTCTAAACTTCAGTAGAACTTGAACACACAATACACATTCCAAGGAGTATACAACTATATAATAACGAAGCGATCACCATAGACAAATAAAAATGCCAAAATTTCGCTTATGATGATGATGCGATTGAGGTTTTGCTCTAGGCCTGATTTTGCCCTTTATATACTATCGCACTTCATGGACTCTGTTATGATTGATGGGGCATGACTACTCCAGACTAATTATGACTCGTTTTAAGGTACTAAATATTGGATCGTGCTCTTGGAGTTACATCACTCTCTTCTCTTGACATCAAGCCATTATACAATGATCACAGTAATTAGAAATCGAACACCCAAGCCTTGACAATCATCTCCAAGCATAAATATTACCCCACATAAGTCTCATATGAGACAACATAATTCAATAGTTCTATGAGATTTTTGATAGAGAATAGGAGTATCAATAATAATTCTCGTCTTTTGAACAATCACGAAGACTCACAGAGATATATGAGCACAACTGTCCTTGGTGCTTGCTTTTGACCTTACTTCGAGGATAGGTATGGATAGGGTAAGTTTCGATGGCAAAACAGGAATCTGAAATGTGATTAAATGATGTTTTGAAAAGGAAAGTAAATTCTATGCAAGCTGGCAAGATCTCTCTGGCAAACAAGCACATCCAAGCGCGAGGAGGTGTGATCTGACTTCGACAACAACTCCTCTAGGAATGAAACTCAATAAGACAGATGGAATATAGAGAGCCACCTGGGCAGAATTGAAACTGTCACTGACGAGCTTTCAGTCTCTAAATTTGGAATCTTACAAGATTACCACGGGAGGCCGTCTAGACTAGAAAATTGAAAGGGGAAAAAGAGCTTTGCGGAGCTAATCGATATGGTTAAGTTTAATTTGCAACCCATAGATCTAAACTATTTGGAAAGATCCTTACAACTGATAGATGAAAGAAAGCAAAGTACAAATATAAATTTGATGAAATCATCTCATAGCAACAGGCAATATCTGTGAATATCTATCACAATGAACCTCAACAAACTCATACGTGACGTTACAACAGCACAGCCACTCATACAACTAGCCCCTCGGACGGATAAACCTTAATCCGTGCACCCATAATTCCACAATCCCACCCCATCAAACCACCCATTCATCTCCATCTCAAGCTCTCCATCTCCCTCCTACCACTTTCCCCACCCCTGAACCCACTATGCCCGACGACTACTCCTTCACCGGCGGGGGTCTAAAACTCAAAGGCGCCTCCACCGGCGCCGGCATTACCAAAAAGAAAAAGAAGAAGAAGGTTGCTCCCCCCACGACTTCAACATCTCCACCTCCATCCAGCACTACACCTACCACACTCCAAAAAGCCCTCAAAGACGAAGATACCGCGAAGCCCACTTCCGAAGAATCAGAAATGAGCGAAGAACAATTGAAGTCTCTCGATCCGCGCGACGCATCTGGGAAAACGGCATCGGAGCGCGCGCATGAGGAGATGAGGAGGAGGAGGGTATGTTTTTACTTTTTCCTTCTCATTCACATTCACATCTCCATCTATATTTCCCATCTCCCAATCCATACAGCTCCGCATCCAAAACCCCCCCCTCCTTCAAGCAATACACTAACCCCCTCCCCATAGCTCAACGACCGCCTCAAGCGCGAAGGCGTCAAAACCCACAAAGAGCGCGTCGAAGAACTAAACAGATATCTTAGCACCTTGAGTGAACATCACGATATGCCCAAGATTGGACCTGGATAATGCGATTTTCGTTTTCAAAACATACATACATACACCTACATACATACACACCATTTACGACTTTCGGATTGCGAAAGTAGAAGGAAAGAAGAGGAGTTCTACGGAGTTTCACGAGAGAGCGCACATTATCAGAGGCTATACGGATTTATCTTATTTGACTTTACTTTACTTGACTCTATCACATTTTGATTTCTTTCCAAACTCGCGAATACTACATCAGGAACGGAGTCAGATGCAAACAAAAAGACCAATCGAAAACCAACCTACGTCTCTACGCCCGCGAATCCAAATCCAATATTCAATATTCAACTTTTTTAATGATCGATCATATGGCAGAACCGGAAATGATAGATGGATCGCGCGAAAGAGAGATAGAGAGATGCGCATATACCCCAATTAATGAAATATCATAAATACATACCATTATGTCGAAATCTCATATTTTTTTACTAGCTATAATGAGTCCGTCACGAGAAGATCTGCTTCGAATTTCTCTGCATGATCAAGTCGTTCTTGTGAATATATTAGCCGTGGCAACAGTGATGAGACTGGAAAAGATCCTCCAGTGAAACATCTTAATTTTTTATTTTTCAACGAGAGATGGAATTGAGAGTCCCAGAGGTGAGTTTCTGATGAAGAAGACTCAAGATGAGCAATGAAGAAGTGAAAATGTGAAGACGGGATAACGATATGAAAATATCCGGAACCATCAAACAACTCCAAGAACATCTGTACAACTAGAGAAACGTAACGAGCAATTCAAAAGTCTTCATGTATGGGAAACATACAAGTTCACCAATACCCTTTCCCTTCTTCACATTCAAAATCCATTCTTAATCATAAGAGAGCACCAATAATATGTATATAATTGTATGTATCTTCATATTTCTCCACAAGCTCCTATCACGTTATTTTGCCACTTCCACCATATTAATCATAATGCATCTCGTTCACCCCTTACTATCAATAGATATCCCCATGACTTTGCCATGCAATGTATAATAACCATATTTGATCCTTAACCAATTTCTCTCCAGCAATTCCGCGAAGCAAAGCACATATCCCGTGATGGGCTATTCCAATCTATGCGCCAATCCAAATTCCGTTTCTAAAAGAGTGATGATAAATTCGTGTCAAGTCATTACGATCGATCGTAAGAATGAGAGACTGATAGTTAAATAAAACTTATGACCGTAAAAACCCGACACCGACGCTATGCAAATGTGTAAATATCAAAAGAGTTCTGGTTCGATTTCTTGTATTCGTCCCAACTACTTGGCTTATAATGCAACAACAACCACCATTCCGACGGCACCAAGAATCATGTTGATTCCCAAGTTATTCCTTCCAGCACTATTGGTTTGTAATGATGCACTTCCAGTAGATGTCTTAGAAGTACTAGCGGGAGATCCAGTAACTACAGCAGGTACGACAGTAATAGATGTAACGGTCGATAGGGATCCATTGGGTAGTGTTGTGGTAAAAACTCTGGTAGAGGTACTGCTGGTTGTTCTTTTGCTGGTCGCTTCAGCGGCTTGTGTAGTAGTATCATCGTCTGAGGAAGCTGTAGATTCGGCCCTGTTAGTAGATGCTGGAGTTACAGCCATAACAGAAGAAGATTCAGTAGCGAGAGAGCTCGCAGGATTAGTCAATGTAGACAAAACACTATCACTGGAAGCCTCTGTAGTAGAACTTGAGGTATCAGCGGAGGTAGTAGCTTCAGAGGCAGTGGCCTGAGAAGTCGGTACCCCGGTGGAAATGGAGGCCTCACTTGTAGAAGCTCCTGTAGTCACGGGGACGGAGGTAGTGCTACCTGAAGATGTTTCAGTAGTTTGAAGAGCGGAAGTGGAAGCTTCTGTTGCAGATGAAGAAACTTGAGAAGTCTCAGAGCTTTGAGATTGAGGTTGAGATTGAGCACTAGTGGTAGAAGTCGATCCTGAATCCGAGTATAAGTTTAAGCCAGAAACTGATAAAGAAAAAGCATTGCTAGGAAGGTTGACCAAAGAACTAGAGATGGATGTTGCGGAGTTACCCTGAGATCCAATGGTAGTGGAAATAGGCAACGGCAATTTAAGAGAAAGAGTATCATGTCCAACTAAACTAGAAGTGGACTCCAAAGTCAAGGAAGTGCCATGGTTTCCAGAACGAGAACCAGGACCAGAAACAGGGATCGATGAAGGGGTATGATATCCAATAGAAGTGGAATCAACAACAGGCACTCCTGTAGAAGAGTATCCAAGAGGAGTAGAACTAGAAATTATAACATCAAGAAATATGGGAAGACCTCCCAGGGATATCGTTGAACTTGCAGATTTGGAAATCGCAGACGATACCGTGGAACTAGACCCTAAAGACGTCGACGTGACAGGGTGCGAATCTGTAGTTGAGGTCGAGGAGTCGTAAGGTATCTTGGTAGGCAAAAAAGCAGAAAAAGTAGAATTCACAAAAAAGAAGACGGGTAATGCA